AGCAAATGTGCTTGGGGAACTGGCTATCCACACACAAAAAACTGCATCTAGACCCATGAGTCTCACCAGGTACTAAAATTGAAAGCAAAATGGTTCAAAGATCTAAATATTAAACAGGAAATTTTAACCTGCTGGAACATAAAATAAGTAAGACTCTTATAGGCAGGATTTGGGAATAGAATTCAATTACACAACAAATAACAGCAAGAATCAACGAGTGGGATTATATTAAATTTAAAAGCTTCTGAATAGCAAAGGAAACAAGCGAAAGAGTGAAGAGTCAGCCTACAGAATAAGAAAAAAGTTCACCAATTCCTCAGATACAGGACAAATACCTAGAATATAACATAACTCAAAAAAATTAGACCACCCAAGTAAAAGACTCAGTCAAAAGTGAGCAACTGAAATTAATAGAGACTTCTCAGAGAAAGAAGTACAAATGACCAATAAATACATGGAAAAGTGTTCCCTTCTCTGGTCATCAGAGAAATGAAAATTAAAACAACACTGAGATTCCATCTTACCCAAAAAAGAATAATGACAAGTGAAATAATAAGTGTTGGCAAGGCTGTGAAGAAAAGGAACCCTTTTACACGGTTGGTGGGAATATAAACTGAACAGCCACTATGGAAATCAGTATGGAAATATTTAGAAAAAAACCCCTAAAACTAGAAATTTCATTCAACCTGGCTAGTCTACTTCTAGATATCTTCCTGAAAGAGTTAAATACATAATATCACAGTGATAAAAGCATACCCATGCTTATATATAAAAGCTAAACCTTGGAAGTGGCCTATGTGTCCGTCAACAAAAGAATAAATAAAGAACATGTGGCATTTATACACAATAAAGTATACTTTCCTAGAAAGGAGGATGAATTTGATTCATTTGTAGAAAAATGGATGTACCTTGAATCCATAACATTAAGTGGAATAAATCAGACACATAAGCTTAAATATCATACGGTATCTCTTATATGAGAAACCCAAAGAATAAATAAATTGAAGTACAAAACAAAAAACAGATAATAGGAAATGGATACTTATTTTTTGTAAACAGGAAGGGGACCAAGAGAGGGAAGAGTGAAGAGGAAAAGGGAAGGGGACATAAAAAGAATTGAAATATTGTATGTACATGTACCAACAACTCCAAATTAATTATGTATTACATACTACAATCATGTACTAATAAAGAAAGTGTGTGTGGAACCCGGAGATAATAAATAAACATTATGGACAGCATAACTGTGGTCCTGAAATGAGAGCATCCAAGAAGGAATTGCCGTGGTACACAGGCAGTTCCCATGGGAAGGAAGCTGGTGAGTGGTCCCACAGGTGACCTGGCCCTTTGCTGTTGGCACAGAGCCGGAGCCACTCATTTGTTCAGCTAATCAGATAGCATACAGATTGAATGCTAGGCAGCAGAATCAGAAATTATTTGACTTACCTTAATATCTTTGTAGGGATCAGGCAGATACTAACACAAAAGGGAAAAGAGGATGGAGATGGGAGACATGAGAAGAGAAGAAAGTGAGTAAAGCAGTCAGTAGGAATGGACAGTGGTCCCAGACGAGGACTGACAGTGACTTCTACCACTGAAAGGATGGGAGGGTTGTGAGTAACCTGGCCTGGACAGTGTCAGCTGAGCAGAGGGGCTGACATCAAAGAGTGGAAGGCATCAGACTCCCCAAGACGTACCTATGGCCATTTGGAGGGATGAAGAAGCCAAAAGTAATGACAAGAATCTATGGTTCTTCTCTTCTGTTGCATAGGAAAGGACACCAGGGAGCCTCCAAATGCCGAATTGGTCCTAACTGATGGGACTGGGGAGGCTCAGCCCTCACCTCATAGCATGCAGGCTCACGAGACCATCCTGCTTCCTTTCCCACACACAGATGCTACTCCTGCACTTGGGGACATCATGTGTGTGAAAAACTGGACAAGCAATCAGCGGGCCCACACTTCCTCCACGCCTAGCTCGCTCCCCAACACGGCCAGCTCTTACTGCAAATACCATCATCCTGAGCAGGAGGCATTAAAGAGGTCTGCCCAGGATATTTGGACAGACACTTTGTGTTCTCAGGTACGTGAAAAGAAGGCACAGGACACAATGCTTTGGCTGTGCAGTCTTCTTACCCTGTGGGAGAGGGTGCAACTGGACGATGGCCAGAGCAGGACCCTTCCAAGTACATGGACAAAGCTGGGGCCTTGGTTTCCTAGCACTCAGGACAGAAAATGTACCAAAAAAGACAGCTGAGAGCACCAGGTCCCAACTGTGAGAATCGGAAGTGGCCCAGGTCTGTGAGTAAACATGCTGGAACTCATCTCAGGAAGTGGGTTTCAGGCTACAAGGCGAGCAAACACACCCTGGAGTAGAAAGTGGCTATGATGCCACCCGTGAGCAGAAGCCATAGTGTGCTGATGGCAATGTGCTGCCAAGATGACCTGAGCAGGGGCAATCCTTCTGCCATCTCAGTGCATGGTGTAGTCACCCACCTGCACACACAGGATACCTGTGAGCCATTTTAGGTCCTTCTTTCTCATCCTCTGTCATCTACCAGTAAGTCCCTTTTAGATCTGTCTCTAATCTATTTCCCTCACTCTCATGCAAGCTCCCTTGTCTCTCAACCTGTTCCCAATTGATCTCTTATCTTTCATTATTCTCACAGCAGTCAGTAATATTAGTACAGTACAATAGAGCTGACTGTGATACAGCTTAAGAGGCTTGAGGGCCCTTCTGCCCTCCTCAGAATAAATTCCAAATGTCCTAATGTGGCCCACAGCCCACCATTTCATTCTTCCACCTTCAAACTCTTTACATTTCACTCCTGACTCTCTTGCAGTTCCTTCTACATGCAGCCTTCTCTTCCAGCTGGCACTCTCTCCCAACCCCGGCACACGTGGGTCCCGCTGCATGACAGCCCCCTTTCCCTTCTCTGTGAGGTCTGACCAGTCTGTACAGCTGTGTAACCACTACCACAATCAGGACACAGAACAGTTCCATGTCTGTATCCATCATGTCCCTGTGCAGCCCTAGTCCCTGTCCTCAGCTCCTGGGAACTCCTTGACTCCTGATGTGTTTTCTGTTCTGCATTTTCTGGAAAATGCTCTAAATGGAATTAGAACATACTGCCTTTTGGGATAGGCTTCTCTTAAGCATAACAAAATGCATTTGTGATTCATCTGTGCTGTTGTGTTTTTCCATCAAAAGTCTGTTTACTGCCTGTAATCACAGTTACTTGGGAGGCCGAGGCAGGAGGATTCTAATTTCAACACCAGCTTTGGCAACTTGGAACTTTTTTTGAAGGTCTAAGCATGTAGTTCTGTGGTAAAGTGTGCTAGGTTCAATTGAACCAGCACTGGAAAAAAGCTCTGATTCCTTTTTATGATTAAGTAGTTTTCAAGTGTATAGCTGTACTACAGCTTATCTATTTTCTCCAGGTTTGGGTGATTATGAATAAATGGCCACAAAAGATTAATAGGCCATAAAAATTTCTGTACAAGGTTTTGTGTGCATGGTTTTCATTTCACTTGGAGAATTCCCTCTCAGTGAAGCTGCTGTATGTTTTATTTTTAAATTTTTGGTACCAGGGATTGAACTCATGATCTCACATTTGCCAGGCAGCGCCATGCCACTTGTTTAACTTTATAAGAAATGATGAAACTGTTTTCCAGGGTGGTGCTAGTTTCTATCCCCTTCACAATATACAGGAATTCCAGTTGCTCCCTCTCCTCACCAGCACGTGTTTTGTTCTTTGAGAAAATTCAAGTAATTTATTTGGGTCATTTTACTAACTGTGCGGTGACATCACAGTGTGGTTTTTAGTCCCACTCCTGAGGTAATGATCTTGTCAATGATGCTGAGTCTACTCACTCTTAAATCTCTACCTGGTCTTCTTTTGCCAACAAGCTACCGCTCAACACACAAACCAAGTTCTTGTCCTCCTTTGTGTTTCCAGGACAAACAGTTACAGTTATCTCCACCTTGGCCTTACTGTATCATTATATCACACACCCTGACACATGCATGCACCTGTTCACTTCCCAAGGGTAGAAGTGACATAGGAGTGGTAGCAGAATTCTCAATGATATGAGGGAAATTATAACTCCCAACCTGTTAGAGTCAGATACACGGAGTTCATGTTCCCTAAACTCGAAGAGTGAATTCTGATGAACAACAGAGATTAAGGGTAGGAAATATTTATTGAGGGGGACAGATACAGCTCCTGAGAGACAGCAGGGATCCCAAGTGGGTTTCCAATGAACCCACTTCACAGAGCAGGCTTTATAGAGCAAAATCATGAGGTGGGTACAATGTGGATAAAGTTATGATTAAGCACCAAGATTATAAGTACAGCTGCTTAGGTAATAGGGAGACAACGGGAAAGCAAGTCACATAACAAATATATCTGGAAAAACCAAAGAACGTCTCAGGAAGTGATGGGACTGAGTGTCTTGGTCACCCACTGACATAACTGTCAATCTAGACTTTATTGGGCTGGGTGTTACCACTTATCTTAGCCCTTGGGGAGGTATGCAGGTCTGGTCATTCCATCTTTATCTTGAGGCTTGACCTCCAACAAATGTGCCCCTACCACAGTTGCAATGTGTTTTCCTCTTTTGTAGTGATGAGGGCCTAGCCCTTTCTGACTGCCTATCATATGTTTACCTAAGTTAGCCGTCTATAGCATAAGTAGCATCTTAACTATCTCCAACTCCCAGCACAGGGCCTGAAACAGAATCTTTATACACCCGGTATCAAAGGAGTGCATACACAACTGCTGAACACAGTGAAGAATAAATAGATGAAGGCAGGTAATTACAACATAGCTTTGCAATCAGGCTGGCCTGGCTGTACCTCTACCTTGCCTCCCTAGATAACCTCATATTCACTAATCTCACTCTTAAAGAGGGTGAGGTGAGCTTGGTAGAATTCACTCTGAGGACCCCGAGGCCGCAGTGAAGCCGGAGGCAAAGCGGAAGGGGCGGCGCCGGAAGCAGGCGAGCAGCCCGGAGTTAGCGGCCTCTCAGTTGCCATGGAGACCAGGACCGGAGCAGAGCGGCAGTCTGAGGAGTCGGAGACGCACGAATGGCCCGAGTGGTCGCAGGTCTCGCGTCTGGCTGGGTCCAGCAGGCCCGACCAGTTCAGCGGCAAGTCCTCCTTGCCGTCCGAGGTCTTGCGCTGCAGCTTCGCGGCGCGGCCACGCAGGCTGCGGGCGCTGGCGCTGCCCCCGCACCCGGAGCCGCAGCCGCTGCGTCCGCGCCCCTCCTCGCTGCTCACGCAGGACATCTCGCACTTGCTCACCCGCGTCTTCCGCAATTTGTACTCGGTGGAGGTGATCGGCGAGGACGTGAGCGCCAGCTTGATCCAGGCCCGCGGCAGCGAGAACGCGCGCCACGAGGAGTTCGTGGACCAGCTGCAGCAGGTAACCGGCGCCGCAGCCCCGCCTGGCGGCTTGGCCCAGCCCGGGGCGGCCGCAGGACTCCGGTCCTGGTCAAGGTTGGCCGGTGCCAGGCACTGTTCAGTTCCCTAACGCTGTGGCTAAGACACTCAGGTAGAAAGACATTGAACAAGTATGCAAATTCATACTATATACCCAAACGGCATGTAACTGTGGCTGATCTAATATGCACATTATGTGTTACATATACAGTATGACAACATGACTAGGGTTGACTGCTGAATAATTGTTCCCCAGTGGCGATAAGGCCTAAAACTACCCTCTTCTTTTGGGGTGCTTTTGTATCACAAGCCACAATCTCGACTAGGGAACCCCATGCCCAGATTTTCGGAAGCACTCTCAGACTTGGAAGAGCAGCTTCTTCCTCTTTTGTAGAGGCAGGAAACCAGCTGTTTTGGGCCCTCTGTGTTGAGGTTTTTTCTGCTCAAATTCCCTTCAGTTTGAAGTCATACCGCCCTCAACCCGCGATCTTACCCTGGTTGCCTCCCGTCTCTCAGGTCGATTGGCTACTGTGTGTCATACGTGTTCTAGGTGGTGAAGATTCAGTCATGAATAAAACAAGTGTGTGAATGTACACACACATGCAGCCTGTTCTCTATAGCTTACAATCTAACTGGGATACTTAGATTTTCACATGAGTCTATGCAGTATGTGAGATACTGGTGGGATTAGCTTTACCCCTGCCATATGTTACAGACTTCCTGAAATCCAGAGAGGACTCCGGGGTGAGACCCATTGCACTGCTCTTTGGGCTGCGATGATATTTACTCTGCTAATACTTCAGCCACAGGCCAGAGCTTGCTCTGGAACTTCCAGCTCCCATCTGTGTCATTCACGTGAGCCAGAATCTGTGAAGCATTGTTAACCTATAAACCTTATGACCCAGTTCATTAGGGACTTTCTTTGATCCCTTTCCTGCAAATAGCCACTATACCAGGGTCTGGACTGGCAGAGTGATTCCTCTTTTAAAAATGAGGGTTTTGTGCTGGGTGCAGTAGCTTATGCCTATAATCTCAGCTACTTAGGAGGCAGAAGTAGGAGGACTGAAGTTTGAGGCCAGGCTGGGCAACTTAACAAGACTGTCTCAAGAAAAACAAACAAACAAAAGGCTAGAGCTATAGTTTAGGGGTGCCTCTAGGTTTGATCCTATTACCGTGCACACAAAAGAAGGGCTTTTGAAGATACAAATAGTTCAAGCCGGGTGTAGTCTCCCTATCCAGCATCCCAAGTAGCTGGGATAGCAGGCATGTTCTGCAGTGCTTTGACTTGAGTTCTCCCCATGCTCGTTGAGTGATGATTTTCCACAGGTCCATGCATAGTACTGTGTGGACTAATGATTGAACTACATACTCTGGGTTTGAATTCTGGCTCCACTACTATATACCACTTGTATGACCTTGGGAAATCTTTACTGCTGTATACTTCAGTTTCCTTGTATATAAAGAGGAGGTAATTTTCTGCTCTAGGTTTGTTGTGAGGATAAAATGAGCAAATTTAAAACAATGAATGTTTACAGCATGGTAGGTGCTCAGCAGTGATAGTTGGTAGTTTATTTTGATTTGATGCTAATTCCTACTTCCAAGAATTAGAGTCAGGGATTATAAGCAGGTCCAAATAATAGCAAAAAGCTTAATAATATGTTTAATGAACTTCCTGGCCACTGTCTCCTTCAAGGGGGTTTCTGGGCCCCAGGAAGATTGAGCTACCCACTCCTAGCCTTCACTATACTATGATTTCATCATAATGCTTTTACGCATATTTTTAAAAATTTTATTTGAAAAGAGAAAAATAAAATTTCAAAACAAGATAATAAAAGGCTAACAAGTTAATACACTGTGTATTATTATCTTTAAGTTAGTTATTCAGAGTTCAAGATATGGGCATTTAATTGACCAAACAATGTTAGCACAAACCTTTCTTTTCCATGAACTAAGAGAAGTTAGTAGTATAACTATCTTAAATATCTTTTGTGCATATATGTATATTTTTTCTTTAACTTGCTTCTTTTCTCTGTTCTTCCATTCCAGGTGCTGGTACCTTTTGAAGCTTCTTCCCATTTTACAATATCTATTGTGCATCTTGTATCTTATTTACTCTTTCAGCTTCTCATACTAGAGACAATATGATGTTTACAAATGTGTTCCTGGTTTATTTCACTTATGAGTATGGTCACAGGTTGCATCCATTTACCTATAACAGTCTCCAGTTTATCCTTCTTTGTGGCTGAATAGTACTCCATTGTATAAAAGTACCACATCTTTTTTATCCATTCCTCAATCGATGGGCATTTAGGTTGTTTCCAATATCTGGTTATCACAAATTGTGCTGCTATAAACATGGGTGCACATATATTGCTGTGGTATGATGTTTTTAGTTCTTTTGGGAAGATACCCAGAAGGGGAATAGCTGGGGTGAAGGGGACTTCTAGTCTTAGTTTTTTGAAGAATCTCCGCACTGATTTTTACAGTTGTTGCATCAGTCTGAATTCCCACCAGCAGTGGAGAAGGGTTTCTTTTTTCCCACAGCCACTCCAGCATTTGTTATTGGCTGATTTCTTGATAACAGTCATTCTTTCTGGGTTGAGAGGGAATCTCAGTGGTGTTTCAATTTGCGTCTCTTGAATGACCAGTGATGTGGAACACTTTTCATATATTTATTTGCTGTTTGTATTTCTTCATCTAAGAAGTGTGTATCTCAGATGCCCATTTTTGGACTGAGCCTTTAAATTTGGGAGGACTGAGTTTTTTGAGTTTTTCATATGTTCTCAATAGTAATCCATTGTCTGAGGAACCCCTGGAAAACATTTTTTCCCACACTGTGGGCTGTCTCTTCAACTGTTGGTGGTTTTTCTTGCTATGCAAAAGCTTTTTAATATGATGAGATCTCGGTTGTTGATTCTTTGTGATAGTTCCTGTGTGATTGAAGTTTTATTCAAAAAATCATTGCCTCTACCAAATTAAAGAGTTTTACCTATTCTATCTTCCAGCAGTTTTAATGTTTCTGTTTTAATATTTAGATCTTTGATCCATTTGCAAGTTAGTTTAGTGCACAGTGAAAGATATGGGTCCAATTTTAATTTTCAGCATGTGTACAGCCAGTTTTCCCCAGCACCATTTATTAAAGAGGCTGTCTTCCAGTGAAAGTATTTGCCACTTTTGTCAAAGATAAGGTGGCTGAGTATATTTAGAGTTGTTTCTGTATCTTCTAATCTGTTCCATTGATCTTTGGATCTGTTTTTTTTTTTTTTGCCAATATCACTGATTTTTGTTTGTTTTTATCACAGTAGCTTTGTAGTATCACTTCAAGTCGGGGATTATGATGCCTCCTGCCTTACCTTTGTTGCCTAGTTGGCTTTGCTATTCTAGGTCTCTTCTGGTTCCAGATGAATTTTAGGGTTATTTTCTTTCATTCTGTGAGATATGCTATTGGGATTTTGATCAGAATTGCGTTAAATCTGTTAACAGAAGTGTAGCCATTTTTACTATATTGTTTCTTCCTACTCAAGAGCAAGGAATGTCTTTCCATTTTCTGACATCATCTTCAATCTTTTTCAGACCACTATAGTTTTCAGCATAGAGATTTTTTTACATCCTTCATTAGACTGATTCCTCGATATTTTGTGGGTGTGGATACGATTGTGAAAGGTGTTGTTTTCCTAATTTCTCTCTCAGTGAGTTTGTTATTCATGTACAGGAAAGTTGTTGATTTTTGAGTGCAGAGTTTGCATTTAGCTATGCTACTGAACTTGCTTATTAAATCTAACAGGTTTGTTGTTGTTGTTGTTTTGGTACAGGGGATTGAACTCAAGACTTCGTGTTTGCCAAGAAGGCATTTAAGCTGCTGAGCTAAACCCCTGACTCAATCTAACAGTTTTTTAGTGGAGTTTTTGGTATCTTTTATGTAGGGTATCATATCGCCTGCAAATAATGATAATTTAATTTCTTCCTTTTCTATCGTTATTCCTTTTATTTCTTTCTCTTACCTAATTGCTCAGACTAAACTTTCCAGAACTATGTTGAATAAGACTGGAGACAGTGAACATCCTTGACTTGTTCCTGATTTTAGAGATAAAGCTTTCAGTTTTTGTCCATTTAGTATGATGTTGGCTGTTGGTTTTCATAGATGGCTTTTATCAGATTGAGATAAAGACCATTTAGTCCAGTTTTCTGTAGGTTTTTTTTTTTAATCATGAATGGATGCTGGACTTTACTTTTCTACATCTGTTGAGATAACCATATGATTTTTGTCATTGGTTCTGTTAATATGGTGTATTACATTTGTTGATTTACAAATGTTGATCCCATCCCTGCATCCCTGGGATGAATCCCACTTGATCGTGGTGTACAATCTTTTTGATGACTTGCTGCAGTCTATTTTCCAGGATCTTATTGAGGATTTTTGCATGTGTGTTCATTAGGGAGATTGGCCTGTAACTTTTTTCCTTAATCGGATCCTTCTTTGGTTTTGATATCAGGGTAATACTTGCTTCCAGAGATGAATTTGGGAGTATTGCTTCCCTTTCAATTTCATTAATGAGTTTGGGAAGTAGTGGCATTAGCTGTTGTCTAAATTTCTTGTAGAATTCAGGAGTGAATCTGTCAGGGTCTGGGCATTTCTTTGTTGATAGGTTTTTAATTACATCTTCAGTTTCCTTGATTGATATTGTTTTACTTAGGATTTTGTATCTTCTTTATTCAGCTTTGGTAATTCATATGTATCTAGGAATCTGTCCATTTCTTCTGTATTTTCCATCTTATTATACTACAAATTTACAAAGAAGGTATAGATGATCTTCTGGATTTTTACAGTGTTGTGATTTCACCCTTTGCATTCCTAATTGTGTGGATTTGAATTTTTATTTTCCCTTTTTTGATAAGTTTGAATAAGGATTTGTCGATTTTATTTAATCTTTCAAAGAACCGTCTTTTCAATTCATTGATTCTTTGTATTGTTATTTTACTCTT